AGCAAAAAACATCTAGAAAATGCATTTGAAGAAACTGTGGTTGAATCACGGGGCATTGGGTGTAAATTCTGCATCTTCCACCAACATCAGAATGACACTAAGATAATTGGAAGAGGATCACTTTACGCTCTCACCATTTTCAAGAGAGTGACTATAACTGAAGACACCAAGAATAGCTGCTTGTCCATTATTGGTTGGGACAGTTCCTTACAAAAGTAAGTTTTCAAGTCAAGAATTAAAATTATTTTGAGAAGAGGAGAGAAAATTGCATTTTACGGTCAGCCCAGTAAGATATTAATGCAACCATATGTTTTTTTGAAATTAATACACAGAATTGCATTTGATAAACCAGGCACATAAGGGGCTCTGTCCAAATTTAAGTTTAGCTCTTGAAAATTCAAATTTCAAATTATCTCCCCTCACTGTTACAAAAAGTTTGAGGATGCAAAATATTTTAGAGATAAATATTTGAGGCAGACAAGAAAACACACGAATATATTCTTTTTGCAAACACGAAATGCCTCATGAGAACAGTGTAGTTGTTGACTTGTCTAAAGAAATTTTTGACTCTCATCAACAAAATTCAAGCATTCCCATTAACTGCAGGCGATATTCAGGCCATATTAAGGCTCTGTGTCTGGCTATTCAGTGGAGTAGTGCTAAAGCGTACTGGCTACTCAGACATGTGTTTACCTTACCATCCTCCAAAATTCTGAACCACATTCGTCAGATTGTTCCTTTAACCATGGGCATTTCCAAGACTGTTCTTAATATCATGGTTTCATGTCAAGCTGTTATCAAGCATTGTGTGCATCATGGTTAAGCAACTCTCTACCATGTCAGGAATTGATAAATTATGTGTCCTTATGTTTCACAAAACGTGTTTGGAAAAATACCTTTATTATTCTCCTAATCAGGATCATATTTTTTTATTACCAAGATTTGGAAGGGAGTTGCTTTTGTCGAGATCCCGTTTTTGCTGACCATTCTCTAGTTTTCATGGTGTGTGCTCTGATATCTGAATGGTAGCAACTTTTTGCTTTCCACTTGGGTCAAGCCATTA